TCGGTACGCGGCCACAGAATCAGCGATACAAACGGTTCGGTTAGCGATGCTCCGCGGTATGCGGTATAAGTATTGTTGAAACAGCCATGATAATTTAATAGAAATGTAGCATTCCGGCCTCTATAAAAAGTGAGGGCTGATTGATGACGGGTCAACATTCAGCCCAGCGGTAGCAGGTTGTGGATTCGATGCTTAAGGAGTGCACCGCTCGACGGTTTTTGAATAGAATGTCCAAAAAGGATGTAGACAAGGCTTTACGGCTTTAGAGTGCGGGAGTTCAGGCCAGGTTTTCGAGCCTTTTCGAGTGTGCCATTGTTCGGAGATCCAGGTGCTTTAAAGGTGTAGTTGTTGTTGTTTTTTCGTTTTCCCCTTTGGAACTTGTCCGCGTACGTCCTAGACCCAGCACCCCAGAAAAGGCTTTATGGCTCGCAGCGGTCTCTTTTTGAAGTTCGCGGTTGTTTCTAGAGGTACCTTTCGTTTCGCCGTATAGAGGTTTTTGGGTGTATGCAGTGTATGCGCCGCTGGCGATGTTTGCTGCATGTTCTGCCCATTTTGCTCAACATGTGAGGTTGATGCATGCAGCCCGGGCAAACGAAGCAGAACAATGCTTGGTAAGAGGGATGCCCGAAGCACATGAAGCTCAGAAAAACGAATTGCCTGATTTCCGGCTTCGAACTGCAAAGTCGCACAACTTGTTCACAACATCGCCTGCAGATTGTTCGCCTTCTGCTAGAGGCCAGAGCAGACAAAGATGTTGTTTGTGGGTTTCAGCGATTCAAGCGTGTAGTAGAACCCAGACAAGATCTGCATGATGAGGTCGGTGTTGGCATGCGAGCCCAGAAGCAACCTCAGCCCGAAGCTACATCAGCTATATTTTGTTGGTTGGGTCTCAGATGCACCGTAAGCTACCACAGCCCATAACTTACTTTCGTGTAGCGCCCTTGTGAATGTCGGAGATCAGCCAGATCGGCCGGCTTTGTGCAAACGAGCGCTGTAATTTCCTGGTGACCTTCGAAGAAAGTGGTGGCTTCTGCTGCAAGCGCTGCTACACGAACCATGTCAGGCCTGGTTTCAGCTTCTGTGTTGCGAGGGAAGTTTTAGTAGTCGGACAACATTTGGGTCTTTGCAAAAAAATTGCTCTCTACGGTCTCTACGGTTTGCTGGTTGCTCAGCTTTATATATGTTATATACATTTCTTCTCAGCCTCCTGCACCCGGCATGCGGCTTGCTCGGGGGGTTCCGTTTCATATCGGCCCTCAGCCCCGGATCCCTAAAGCCCCGGAGCTCTCATCGCAATGAAGCTCATCCCCGAGACCCCTGCAAAGCCTTCGGAAATCGCAAGAAAGTTACGAAGCAGAGTGCCCAGACTGTATACCTCATAAATCCTGGAACACTAACTTAAAGTCCAAAGCGAATACCCATGCCCCACCCCCAAACCAGTGAAGATTGAGTAATATTAACACCTGTGGGCTCTGAAGGTTACGGACTTTGCGGTTTCGGGTTTACCCCTCGAGATCCGTGAAGTTGAGGGTTTCGGAGATTGTTCAACTATTCTACAAGGTATAACTCAGGACCCCTCCGTGGGGGGAAAATAATGTGTTTGCATGTATGCTCGTACTTCCCGGGGTTTGGGCTAACATCGAGGCTGGAATAACCACCATTATCATACTTTCAGGTTCCTTATCGTAATTATGCTGTTATCATCTGTAATCAATAAACACCCCCCAACATATTCTAACTCTATCTGCATTGCAACCATCGGGGTAAGCCTTGAGGTTCGCAGCGTCAGTTCACAGGTGAGAACAGTAGAACTTGAAATATGTTGCAGTCATATATTACAGTTGGTTCAACTGGAATAACTTGACCCCCCCTACCACACACCCTAAACCCTAAACCCCTAAACCCCTAAACCCCTAAACCCCTAAACCTTAAGCCCTAAACCCCCCAAGACTGTCAACCAGAAGCCTTTGCCGGCCACCAGGTTCGAGGTTCGGTGCGTTTGTGAGCGAGGCCACGGCGAGAAGTGTGAAAAGAAGGAGCCGAGACTCCGAGTCCCCAAAAGCCCGAAAGGTAATATAGGGGCCTACATGATTACCTATACTATTTGTTGGGGGGGGGTCCTTATTCTGAATTATAGTATAGTGGGCCCCATAACCCTAATAGCCCCATTCTAACTATTAAGGCCCCTAGATTAAGGAGGTTCGGAAGCAGTACAGTAGAAGCAGGGAACTTGGAGCATTATCCTCATGCCCTTCAGGTCAGAGCATAGGGAACCCCAGCACTAATCATCCTAAATCCATCCTCCAACTTTCTGGAACTCACTATAAACCCTAGAAGAACCCTCAAACCCGAACCCCCGGGAGCCCCTAGATCCCAAACTCCAACATCCGTAAATCCTAAACCCTGAGCCCCAAAAACCCTAAATCCTAAACCCTAAACCCTAGGAGATCGAGGGGTTGACTTAGTCGGTATCGGGTTTTGAGACGGAGGATAGAGCCTAGGGCCAGATAAGGGTTTCGGGTCCTGCGGATGAACCGCAGCTACTGCCGTGGAGTAATCGGTTTTGGGTTTAGGGTTTAGGGTAATCCCCTGCCGACTACACCCCCCCCCCTTCTAAACCCGACTTGCAGGATCTGGGTATCCAGTACCCTAAAGGGCCAAGTACTCCCTATTGTAGGACTTTGGAGCCATTTTGGCTACCAAGAACCATAAAAGTAACTACTTGGATCCTTATAGGGGTATAAAGCAGGTTACACGGGTAATTGCAACAAAGGTGTGTGCTGCACAATGCCATATACAACCTACTTGCTAAGTCCCTTGATCCTTCAAGCAGAAACCCCGAAGCCGCTGCTAGCTCTTTCACTCAACGGCCCTACTATCCCAAGCTTGAGGTTTCAGGGTATAAAGTTTAGGGTTTTGGGTTTAACTCAAGGTTTTCGGTTTAGGGATTGCAGCCTCCCTCTCAAAATCCTTGGGGCTTTGAGTCCAAGCCGTCCCTCAGGCGAAACGAGAACTTACACCCTAAAGACCATAGATGAAATTCCGATGGAAGCCCTCTGTCTATGGGGCTTAGCACCCTTGTCGAAGTCCCAAAATAGACCCTATTGGAACAAAGAAACATCAACACCCTACCCAGCTGGAGGAGGCACGAACCACGGACATCCCGAGAGCAGATCCGGTGAAACCGAAGGATCCGCTTCCTGCGGAGGCCTATGCTTGAGGTTCTATGTAGCGATACGGTCCCGATTTTCTGAAACTACTAAGTCGGGGTCGAGATTTTAGGAGACACCAGAGAACTGTCAGAGTTAAATCCCCGTAGATTAGGGGTTCGGGGCTGAGCGAGTTCAGAATTTAGGGTCGTGCCTTTGCGGGATTGCAAACCCGAAGTTGGATCAGCCCAGAGTTTACCCATGGGCCGCATACTAGTTCCTTTTTGGGGTTACCTTATAGGATTCTAAATATGAGCCCCAAAAATAAGGAACCACTTTAGGGCCTATGGGTAGAGCAGAGGCATGGGAGTTCAGGGTTGCATCCTAATCTCTTCCCCCTGATCCCCCATAATACCCTAAACCCCAGACAGAGTGGCTCTGGTGTTATCTTTTGCTGCCTGCCTGCTTTCTCTAGCCGTAACAGATTTGCCTGGAGCCTTGCCTGCCTTGCGCGAGCGTGCGAGTCTCAACCCTAAACCCGACCCATGTCCCAAAGGTTCGAGCAGGGGCCTGAATACATAATCACCCATAGGCCCCATAGTAGTTCCTTTTTTGGGGGTTCATATTTCGAATCCTATAAGGTAATCCCAAAAAGGAACTACTATGGGGCCTATGGGTACGTATATTATTTTAAGGTTTGTTTTATATTGTAACAGTCTGACTAATTACCTATATGCTCCTTTAGATTCCAGAAGGCTCCTTAAGATTAGTCCTCTACGTGCAGTCAGGTACACCCCCTCCTCCAAAAGCCGGGATCTAATTTGTATCGGGCCGCTATATACTATGCTTCAGGATTTCCGATCTTTTGAGCTCGAGTTTTATAGGTATTTGCTCCAGCGGTCACGAGGTTCCCCTGAAGCCTCGGCATCTTGACCATGAACTCTTGACCGTAAGTGGGGGGGCTGATTATCGAGTCTCCACTATGAGCATGGAACCGCGCACCCTACACTCCTAAACCAATTTAAAGGCCCAGATTCCGAACACCCGGGCTCTCGGATTGAATGTAACAGTTCAGGATACCAACTTCCTGCGACACATGCCGGTGGAGCTTTTGGGAACTGATGTAATTAAACATTCGTGTACGCTGCTGTCAGACTTGCAGCTGAAAAAACCTTCGCGCACCCTGCTGGACTTGCAAGCAAGCTTTATCACCGCTTTAAACCTGTATAGACGGATCTCTGACTACGTGTACTCCCTTGTACTCGGGGTCATCCATGTCTTGTTCCTAGGAGGAAGTCTGCCTGTTTCTGGTGCATGACGTCCCATCATGTAGGATCCCGCCATGCTGAATTCTCAGGCGAACATCCTGCATAATCCCACAGCAACAGACGAATCCTGGAAGCTGGTATAAAGAAATGATTCCAAAAGACACCTCCAACTCTAGACCTTGAGTTGGGGATAACTTCCCTGAGGGTATAAAAAGTGAAGCCCCACAGCTCCTATAGGCCCCGGTGTACGGTAGGACCTTCAGCGCCCCGAGACCCCAATTTGCTGAACCTCCAGAGGCCACAAGCAAAGCTGCGATGAAACTTCAGAGCTACGCACAGCTCAAAGACCTGCGGTGCAAGAAATGCAAAGCTGCAACACCCGAACTTGCCGCTCTGCCGAGCATCCGGTACTTCGATGTAGCAGCTAAGGGCTTGGAGTTTGGAGGGTGCGCAGGCTAATGGCCCCGGGGTTTATGGTTTCAGTGTAGAAAGAAAAATCGCTCTTCTGCGGCCTCGTCTGATAATCTCAACTGCAAAATAGCCTAAATGCCTGATTTAACCCTAAGCTCCACATACACAGCAAGCCCCAATCGAACCCTTGATCTGGGGCAGGCTGGTCTTGCTTGAAACGTGGGCCTTGCGGGCATCTGTTTGTGATGTTGAGAAGACGTGGTAAAGAGCGCTTGGCTCCTGTATGTTTCTCTATAATCTACTTTTGGCAAGAACCCGGGACCCAACAAAAAAGTTAACATATGTCATCTTTCAGGCTTCTATAGTAATTAGTAATTACCCATAGGCCCTAAGGTAGTTCCTTTTTGGGGTTCATATATAGAATCCTAGAAGGTAACCGGAACTACTATCGGGCCTATGGGTAAGTTCCTTTGAGGAAGCCTTGAAGGTTGGCTTGGCAGTAGGAAGTGGTTTAGGGTTTAGGGATTTAGGGTTTAGGGTTTAGGGTTCAGGGTTTAGGGTTTAGGGTTTAGGGTTAGTGTGTTTAAGTTTCAAGCCTCGGTGGCTTCGGGATCTTCGAGACCAAACCTTGAACTCTTCTTGGCTGTTGGGTAAACTGGTAAGTAGGTAGGTCGGTGGGTGGGTAGGTAGGCAGGCAGGTAGGTAGGTAGCAAAAGGGCTCCATGGTCATACCCTCACCAAGATTCTCCTGCTCAGATTACGCAGTCCCGTGGTAGTTTTGAGCGGGCAGTAAGCATAGCCATGACCCCTCTACGCCTCGACAATGCCACGGACCTTTCACAAGAACTCCTCATCCCCACTTCACCAATAGAACATGTTTCCCAACATCTATAGTTTATGGACGGCGATCAAGAGTATACACTGTATACACCTGTAGACCCCAAAGTCCGAGGGCTGGAGGGGTCAGAGGCTGGGAAGCGCGTGCCCCAAACCATCCCAAACCCAAAGCCCAAAACCTTGCGCGAGTCGAAAATGGAAGTCGTGAAGCGAGAAACATTCAATTAAACACGTAGCCCAGCACCTACCGAAAGATCTCCTCGAAGCCGTTCCCAGGACGAGGCTTCGGCGAAGGAGCCGTTTTACATGAAGAAGGTTGTCGAGAAACAGCAGCGGCGATCGATGGCCGAGGGTCCGAAGGAACCGCCGCAACCCCCACCGGGGCTACGGTCGTGGCCTGACGACAGACAGAGCTCTTCGAGGTGCTCAGCTGCATTTTGTTTTAGGCCCTGAGTTATTAAGGGGTGGTGGGCTCTCAGGGTGACTGCCCGTGCTACAGCCGAAGTCATCGCATGTCAGTATGTCGCGGTGCTGCTGGTGATGGTGGTGGTGGTCATAGCAGTTGCTGTTGTTGTTGTTGCTGCCGCCGCCCAGCAGGCGTCGGCGGTGGTGGTGGTGGTGGCAGTGGCTTTGGCGGCGGCGGTGGCGGTGGCGGCGGTGGTGGCGGCGGCGGCGGCGATCGTTGTTGTTGTTGTGGCGGTATCGATAAGCAAAAACTCTTCACCTGAACAGAAAACAACTTGAATAGTGTGGGTACAAGGTCCTGTTTCGAAAGCAGCATCAATATCGGAGATCAACGTACGCGGGTAGAAGACGCCTTCTCACTCTGTGCTTTCGCACAGGAGTTGTCATCAGATGTAGGGAGTCGGAATGAAGATTTGAAGATTCGGAGATTCCCTAAGCTCTAAGCCCCATGCAAGCCCTTGCTCATGGGGACGGACACTGCGCTAGATATGGACGGAGATATGATGGCGAGTCGGAGGGTATGGAATACCCTAAACCCTAAACCCTAAACAAGGATGTGGAGATCGGAGGGCGGAGGTGGGAGCAATCGAAAGTAAAAGAAGTCGAAGCACAGGTGATGGGGGCGAAAACTAAGCAGCGAGGAGGACGGGTTAAACCTGTCAATGCCTTCCCCATGAGGCTCTCCGTCAGCAGTCCACACAAAAAACCCTGAGCCCTCATCCCGTTTTCCATCCGGGCTTGGGGAGTCGGCCGGGGAAAGCTGCCAAAAACAGCAGCATCGTGCCAAGCCGTAGCACTAGTGGCTACAGTTGATGAGTGTTCATGATCTTACGATGCCAAAGCAGACTGACGAGTCCTTAAACCCTATATAAACACTGGTGAAGGAGAGTCCAACACAGACTGGATCGCTTTGCGGAGGCGACCGGAAGCCCAATGGCGACAAGAAGCCCGGCGGAATTTTTCCTCTGAAGATGCCTGCAAAGAAGAATATTCCGACGGATGTGGGCTGAAGTCCAGGCCGCTGAGGTTAGAATTTAGGACGACAGCATTCTCACATCAAGCACAAATACTGCGGGTTTCGTGCTGTTGGGTCCATCCTGATCTTTAGGACTTCTTTAGGCTTGCGGCGCTTGGTACTTTTCACTGCAGTGCTGCCACCAGTAACTCACACCGCAGACCCGTATTCCGACTGCGAACCCAAGCCGTAGCCGTAGCACCTACAGTTGATGAGTGTTCATGATCTTACGATGCCAAAGCTGGCTGACGAGTCTTTAACACTGGTGAAGGCGAAGGAGAGTCCAACACAGATTGGTCAATCGCTTTCCGGAGGCGACCGGAAGCCCGGCGGCGACGAGAAGCCCTTCGGAAATCCGTCTCTGAAGATGAGCGCGAAGAAGAATATTCCGACGGATTTGTGCGGAACTCCAGGCCGCTGGTGTAGTATTTAGGACGACAGCATTCTCACGTCAAGCACAAATTAACGACCGGGCCGCTGACCCGGATGATACGATTCGCTTGTCCAGCCGGCTTGAGCAACCCTGCAGCAACCCTCCAGCAGAAAACCTTGACCCTGACGCGCTGAGCCCTAAAGTCCTAAACCCTGAGCCCCAATGCTCCGAACGAAGAGAACTTCTTTGTGGGTTTTGTGCTGTTGGGTCCATCCTGATCTGTAGGCTTGCGACGCTTTGTACTTTTCACTGCAGTGCTGCCACCTGGAACACGCACCGCACGCCCATAGTCCGACTGCGAACCGAGACCTCGTCAGCCTATGCCCGAGTTGCGAGAGCGTAATCGAACCTTGCAGCCCTGAAGAACTGAATCACACCCTGCAGACCCGAACCCTATAACCCCAAAACCCTAAAACGCTAATCCAGCTGGCGGAGTCCGAGTTGCGAGAGCGCAAACCGCTATTCCACGACAGTCTTAGTAATGCTCGCTCCACAGGAACGGGAAGTCGATGTTTGGGGAGCCCCGTATGGTCGGCGGATGCCGCGCAAGGCGACGAAGCCTATGGTAATATCACGCTATCATTTTTTGTTCTACTATTCGAGTATAACTAGTAGTATTATAATGTAAAATGTCTTTGTTTTTAGGGTTGAAGAAGGCTTCCTTGCCCGAACAAGGGTGGTACGGGTATTATAAATTGTGTTACAAGCGTTCTGTGCGGGTTGCCGCCATGAGGCTTTGACAAAGGCCCTGGAAGGGTCCAACAAGGCTGATGGATCTTTGAGAGGGTCTACACGTGTTGTATACGCATTCTAGAGAACTGACTTGTTTTTGTGTTGTATATGGGCGGCAAAAGGGTCCATATGAGTGTCGGGCCTAAGATCCAAGATACCTCGATCAACAAATTTTGTTTTTCCCCTGAACCCTTAACCCTAAACCCTAAATATCCTAAACCTTAAACCCTAAGGGACCTCAAGGTCGGTTGCAGCCTGGTCGAGGAGTCGCACCCGCTCTCCCCAGCAGCTCGGCGTTTAGTCAGAGAGAGGAGAAAAGGTCAAGACGGATCGAGAGCACCTTCTGGAGGACTAAGAATTGGGATGATAAGGTCTAATCAGTATTGGTATTGGTACTAATACTAGTATTAGTACTAGTATTGGTATTAGTAGTAATATTAGTAATTAGGATTTTAGGGTTTAGTTTGCCTGAGGACATTCATCATGAGGGTGATCTGTGCAGGGAGTGCTCATCATGTACCTTTGTCGATTAGTCCTTACATGTCCTTGCTGTCAGCATAGTCTAATATACCTTGGATACTGCCCCCACTCAGTAACAGTTGGATAATATTCATAATAGAGATCTATAAGGCCCTTCATAGTAGCCCTATTATAGACTGTTACTGTATGGTGGCAGTACCCAAAATATACCCCAAATCCCGATCGTAAGTATGAAGGCTCCCCCTCTGAAAACCTGATGACTTGTGCACCAGAAGCATCTTTCGTTTATCGTAAACCTTGTAGAGCCATTCCAAGAACCCTTACAGGAGCCCGATGCTAGTCATATTATGGCCCGAAGCATCTTTTGTTTATCGTAAACCTTGTAGAGCCATTCCAAGAACCCTTACAGGAGCCCGATGCTAGTCATATTATGGCCCCAACATTGCACTCAGTTTCATGCTTCATGCTGTGTATATCTTTGTTTAGGGTTTAGGGTTTAGGGTTTAGGTTTGGGGGTTTCGGTTTGAGTTGTAGGATGCAGGGCCCTGAATAGTGGGTAATTATTTGGGGGGATAATTTATCCAGTGCCCACTACGAAGGAATACAAGGGATAAAGTAGTGGGTATTTTGGGGGGGGTTAGGGTGAGCTCTGGATTTCGATGCACCAAGCCGTGAACCAAGCCTAAACCCTAAATCTCCCTAAATCCTAAACCCTAAACCCTAAACTTCCCTAAATCCTAAACAAGGAGCCCGAAGCCGGCGTTTGGGCAGCCCCGTATGGTCAGCGGTGGTGGCAAAAGGCGAGAAGTCTGTTCACGGTTTGGGTCTTAGGGTTCACGGAAATCTCTTCGTTACGGGCTTAGTACTTGTAATATGATAATATGATCATCTTCATTCTTATGGTTAGTATCATATTGGTGGTTATTATTCTGAATATGGTAGGGTTTGGATTTGGGCTATGATGGTTACAACCTATGTTGCTGCGAATTGCAATTGCAGTTATGATTTTTCTTGTTAGTGTTGCTGCAATCACTTCTGTTGCATTTATGGTTTCGCATTGCTTTTCATTAATGAAAGGGGGCTTCTACTAAGATGTCTTGGCAAATGTTTAATGAGGGCCTTAGAAGGATTCAGAAGGGTCTTATCCTGTTCCGACGAGGGTACTATGGGGCGTTGCAGAGAGGTCTTGGTGGGGCCCCACAAGGGGTTTACAAGGTTCCACAAGGGTCTCATACGGCTGTGGAAGATGGTTTTGATAAGACTATAGGGGTTTATGGGGTCTTACATCACGTTTGTATGGCGGTTTACCAAGAGCCATCCCTCTGTCAAGGACCAGCTAGGCGCCAGCAACTCTTCGGGCCATTGTCTTATGAGTGACTGAGGTCGTGTTCAGGAGTGTCTAATGAGTGCGATAGGAGTACGATGTAAGATCAAGCTTCGGAAACATCTGGTAACCAACTGCAAAGGAAGGTGGGGCCTCCTCCTCCTCCTCCTCGTGCTGATTCTCCTCCTCCTCCCTGCTCCTCCTCCTCCCCCCTCCGCCTCCCTCCACGCAAAGGGCGCGAGCCACTTACGAGGCACTCACGAGGCACGCCCCTCCATTTCTCCCCGTCTCTATGTTTGTCTACGTCAACGCATGCCAGAAACAAAGCCGCGAACGACTGAATTAGGCGGACCTGCAAGGGCCCCTGGAAGACCGATCAAGAGTTAGAAATGGTGATCCGAAAAACAACACCATCTTACGAGCTAATGGCCCCAACTTCGGTGGCACGTATCGTTTGTTTGAACTCTGCATTTAACATAGGAGAAGCCCCATAGTGATCCTTTGTACCACCGTACATACCTCGCCCACTCCATCTGCTTGGTCTTGTTCCATGCAGGCCATCTCCTCCCGTGCGTGGCTCACGGGAGGCGTGGGTTGGGTGTGAAAGATATAATTCTGTTCATCAAGGTTTTGGTGAAAGCACCTAGGGCTCCTTAAGAACATGAGTGAATGTATAAGCTTAGTGGGGCTGATTCGTGGTGTTCAATTAGGTGAATGTTTGGAACATAGGTCATGAACTCACTTAACCCTCTGGGTCTGCGGCTTTTGGGAGATCGGTGCCGGCAGCTTCGCCCAAAGGAGTCCCTAAGCCGAAACCGGACACCGGAAGCCCCCCAGCCCCGAGAACCCCGTCTGGCTTGTCCCAGTTGTAAGTGCGAAACTCTTTCAAATTTTCAGCTACTCAACCCTAAACCCTAAACCCTAGCCATACAGAGCCCGAAACCCTAAACAAAACCCTAAACCCTAATTATACCAAGCTCGAAACCCTAAACCCTAAACCCTATTCTTGTCCCCCAACCCTCGACCCTAAACCCTCGCCTGAAACCTTGAAACCCACCAAGCCCCTAAGCCGGATGCCCGAAGCTAAGCCCAAACAGCCCGACCCCCCCTTCTTGACAAGCCTACAAGCTGGCACCCCGAAACTAAACCCTAAACCCTAAGCTCGGTAGGTTTAGGGTTTAGGGTTTAGGTAGGTTTAGGGTTATTGGATGTCTCGGGGTTTAGGGTTTTTGGATTTTTCGGGGTTTAGGGTTTTAGGATGTCTCGGGTTTTGGGTTTTTGGGGGTTAGGGTTCCGTGCTGAAAAGGGGGTTGGGGTTGTATAGGGTTTTAATAGGGTTTAGGGTGGCAACCAATAATACAGAGTTGGGATGCAAAGGCTTCGAGGGTTTGGACCTAGTGCTTCTTTGTAATCCGGTGGGTTCCTAGTGAGCCCAGTGCTCCTGAAGTCAGTATTGTGTAAAGAATTTTGGCTCCATGAGCAACCCCAGCGATAAACTTGTTGATCAAGGGTTGTTGGGCACTACAATATGGGGTACGAGTTGGGATTCTCGTGTTTTGTGTTTCTGTTGGGATCAGTTCCTCGAGCCCTCGCAGCTTAGACGCGGACCCGCGCAACGCAAAACCTTTCACAAACACACATGCGCACCGTCCGCTGTTGGTGTGGGGGCACATGGGGCCTCATCATTTGGAGTTGATGTCGCAGGGTTTAAATATTGACATCGTAGCTGTGTCACGCATTAGGCCTACGGGGATGTCTCCAACCCTGGGCCGTATAGGGGTCAGGAACTTTCCCCGGTACCCCAGTAGTTAACTCCATCCGCGTTGAAAGCTGGAAAGCCGCACGAGGGGATATGTCATGAAGAAGATTTCGGTTTTGCATCTGTAAGAATTCATGTCATGACCACTTTGCAGATGAGGGCCCGCTGATGCTGATGCAGATGCTGAGGATGACGATGACGACGTCGCGGTTGCTGGTTGTGAGCTGTTCTTGCAGAGCCCTTTTGTTTAAAAAATCAGGGAGACCCTAATCCCTAAAACCTGTTAACCCTATAACTATAATCCCTAAATTCTCAATTTTGGAAATTGTCGGAGCCCCGATGAGTTTTCAGGCATGTGAAGCAGCCTACGAGGTCACGGGGGAGTCGGCGTCCGAGTCCGGCGAGGCCTGGAAAGATGCCTCCACTGCTCAGAATTTCGCGAGCTGAGGTATTTACCCTAGGCTTCCAGGGACCTTATAATTGGGGCCTTAAGGGGTCCAGGGCCCTAACTATAAGGTCCTTGGAAGCCTAGGGTTATGGTTCAGGTTGCCTGGGAAATTCAGGCGTTGACTTTATGGAGGAGTTTTAGGACGTTCGGGCTGAGGAAGTAGGGTTTAGGACGCCCGGAATCAATAACGAAACCCGCCAGCGTTTTTCAGTCTAGAGTCTTGACCCTTATACAGCCCCCAACCCTAAGCCCACAATTGTTTGGAGTGTTTGTGGCTTTTGTGGCTCTTTCGGTTCAAGCTTTAGTGTACTTCGACTTCAGCCCTGAAATGCTAACTTTCAGCCCTCAAGCCTTAAATGCCTGGTATCGAAGCCTGACAAAGTCGTACTTGTTCAAGGTTTCCTGAATATGACGATCGTCTGCCCAAAAGTTCTGTTCTTATCATCAAGGCTCCTAGACTACACCTTTACGGCAGCCCTAACTAGCTAAGAGTATCTCTTGAGCAAACCCTTTGGGAAATCCTGGAACTCTATTGTAATTCTTAAGGCCCCCTATGTGAGCCCAAACGCCAGGACTCGAGCAGAGAGCCTTCCCAGAAGCTTCCTCGTCGCAGCGCCGATATCTCAGAGGCCCTACACCCTGAAAAACAAACCTAAACCCCATAAGCCTTAAGCCATAAAGGTTTTAGCCCCTGTAAGCCCTAGAAGTTAGCCTATTAACCAGCATAGCCTTGGAGGGCGTAGCGCAACTTTGGCATGGGACTTGGGGTTAAAACTTCAGAGTTGTGAGGACCGAGCGACAGAGAGAGAAAGGGAGAGGGGGAGAGAGGGGAGAGAGAGAGGATAGGCGGAAGGGCTCAGAGTGTCATGGTTTACAAGGGTCCAGGGTCTCGATTTTGAGTTTCATGGGAGGAGTTCCCTCCAACGTAACGCAGACACATCCAGGAACAAGGCTACACAGCTCTTACAGAACTGCAAGGTACCGTGGCTCGTTTAATTCACGTCTTTGTCCTTGTTTGTTACAGTTCTCGGCTACCGCTGGCAGGTCGACACTCCGAAATCGGTACTTATAAGGACTTGAGACCTAATGCAGACGCCTGAGTAAATACAATGAATACAAATGCACAAATGCTTTTCCTTAGGGTTGCATACTACAATTGATATAGGGGCCTGAATAATTACCTATACCATTGCGGGGGTTCCTTACTATGTTTATAGCATAAGGGGCCCCAAAACCCTATCCAATTACTAAGGCCCCTACATTACCCTTAACCCTATACCACAATTCACACCAATCGTCCCGAGCTTGAGGCGTTCCTTTTCAGGTTCGCAGAGGGTAGGCGAATGGGTGAAAGCCCTAAACACCGCATGTGTGTGTAGGTTTACTATAGGAGCCTGAATAATAATTAGAATAGGGCGTTGAGGCCCATTATACTACAATTATAATAAGGAACCCCCAAAATGTTAGAGGAAATTATTAGGCCCCTGCATTAGGGTTCAGGGTTCAGCAGTGTAGATGTGTATATTATATATATATATATATATGTATGTGTGTGTGTGTGTATCTATCTGCCCGCCTATGTACCTGCCCATGTACCTACCTAGATAAACCTGCCTACTGTCTATCGATCTTTATGTCCATCTACCTATCTTTCTATCTATCAATCCATTTGTCTGTCTATCTGCCTGTCTGTCTATCTCAAACCCCTCCAGAATCAAATTTTGGAGCCCTGCGGACTTGGCCTTAGGTTCCCAACTTCATAAGAAAGTTTAAAAAGCCATGGAAACCCAACACACCCTAAACCCTAAACCATGGAGACCCTATACTCCCGAATGCCTGAATTCCTTCACACGGCAGGTCGAGGGCTATAGTGCCTCGTGCGACAAACTCTTCTCGCAGCAAGCCTATAGCATTAGGTCATCAAAACCTTGCAAAACGCCACAGAAACCTAGAAAACGCTACGAACACTCCAATCTAACTCCCTGAGGGCCACTCTTCGAGCAGCAAAGCTGGCAGTTTGGAGAAGATGTTCGACCTTCGTTTCGAGCCTGGAGCGGAAGCCCGCTTGGAAGAGTTCCTCGGAATGCGTCACACCCATGGGTATGTTTTTCTTTTATCTCTCTCTCTCACTCTGTACATAGATATGTGTATATATATATATATCCACACACACACCCACATATCTGTATATAGACCATATGTATATGCATTATATACATATATATATACACACATGCATGCTGATCTATTCCTTTGGGGTCAAACGCCACAGTCAGGGTCTGTCCCGGGTCTGAGTGTATTTCTCTACTTGTTCACTTTCTGAAGTTATTTGGTTATGTTTTCGTTCATTCATGTATCTCTCTATTTGTTTGTTTATACGTCCGTATATACCGATGTTCGCAGCGGCACGTGTATATACTCATATAATCTCATATATACATATATGTATGCCTATGCATGTGTACATGGATATGGATAATTATACGTATATGACCCGCCGTTAGTCATGGAATCTCACCCGAAGATAAATCCGTGTTCATCAAATTGGGCATGTTACGTAGACCATGTTGGGTACGGTTGAGGTTTTGCCTGAATGAAGCCCAGCCTCCCTTTGCCGCTGCCCCACTCCGAACCTTGAGGTTTAGGGTTGAGGGTTAAGGGTTTAAGGCTTAGGGTTTGGTGTTTAGGGCATTAAAGTCAGGCTTGCAGCCCTGGACACTTATGTCTTTTTAGGCTACGTTATTTCTGTGTGCACTTGCGCACCAAGAGCCTCAATAGAACATGACACCTGAGCAGACCCCCGAGTGACTAGGGTTTCATATATATATATATATATATGTGTGTGTGTGTGTATACACATACATACATACATATATATATATATATACAGACGTATATGTATATGTACATTTATACACATATAATTATATCTATATACGAGTACTCTACAGCAGAACCCCCAATAAAGGTACGTTGGTATTAGGGTGACGGGCTTGGGCCTGAAGAAGCCAGTTCCAACACCCTAAAACCGTAACGTCCCAACAGCCCTAACACCCCTAGAACCCCAAATGCCGAACCCCCCTAAACCCTAAACCATGTTCTACCCCAAAGCCATGAGACTCCCTGAAACGAGATCTTCATAAGCCCGGGACCCTGACAGCTTGAGAACCTTCAGGGTCTGGGATTTAAAGCTTTGCAGGGTTTGGCCTTTAGGGTTTGGGGTTTAAGTTTGGTCTTGTCGTCCCACTTCAGTTCAGGATTTAGGGTTTAGGGGTTTCAAGAAGTTCATGCCCGGGCGAGAGGGTCTAGGGCCTAGTCTAGGGTTGTGCTGTTCTCAGGCTTATGAATGCTGGTATATACCCCATAACCATGGACGAAAATTCCACTATTTCTGGCAGCCCTTAGCCGCTAGAACCGCCGCCCGGAATAGAAGCATCCTCGTTCCGATCAGGTTCTATGAGATCGCCGAGCGTAACACCGCGAGAAACCTGGAGAAGGGCAAGTATTCTGTTGCTGACTTGCGGTTCCGCGCCAGGTGCCGAGCGAGAGGCAAGGCTTTGCAAACCCTGTGCCCTAACCTTGCAACCAAAACCCTAAACCCTAGAACAACAGCGCTTAATTGGCAAAGCTCTCTACCCCAACCCCCTAGCAGGTGTTCTGAGGCTGTGGAGATTTTGGGTGCTTAGCTTTGTGGTGTTGTCCCGCCTTTCCGGTTAAGTTGCCCGCAGACCCACATGCTTCGAGCTCTACGCCCGGAGTGACCGTGGCACAGTCGTGGCTGGTGACGGGGTGCCCAAAGAAGGCAGACGTTGAGTTTCTTGTTTGCCAGGTCTGCTTCTCAGGCTGGGAGGTGGCCTAGACCGGCCCACTCCTCTGCCGCTCTTTGATGCAAATCTGCGGATACAGTGTAATTATAAGCCTTTACCTATACCTTCAAGAACCCCCCTTTAAGACACCCCCGCCCAAAAAAGAAAACCTGTCTCAGAAGAACAGGGGGGGGCCTTGACTGAGATGTCGGCTTGGCAGCGTGTAATCCGCTCCGAGGCTTCCTTTTCAATTAGGAACCCCAGAAAGGACATAAGCATAAGCATTTTATCGCGATGTCTCTACCTTATTGGGCCTTATATATAAGGGGTTGATATGGGATATCCCTATCCTATGTTTTGCTTATGTGCTTTTTTTGGGCCCTGTTCAAGACGTGCACGCCATGCCTCTGGCCCACAACAGCCCCGAAAGACTAAAGACTCTAACTGAGTGATGCAACTGAAGACTAGTAAGTTGCTCACTCTTGTCTCAAAACACGGTCTATGAACTACAACTAAAATTCTGAAACATGTAAGGTCTTGGGACATGACGCTGTGCAAGCCTATATGTAAGGGCATGGTGTCAGTATAGTCGTTATGCAACCTTTGGAGCCGTTTAACCAGGTGTCCGAATTCCCCTGCAAAAGCGGCATGTGGAGGTCTGGGTGTAGAAGAAAAGATGGGCCAGAATGGGCCATTGCTGTGCAGTGTGGCAGTGACTCAGCCTGGTACTGCAGCCCCTGCCCCCTGCACCGGTAAAACCTCGACCCGCCCCATGGAGCCCTCGACCCGGGAACCCCAGAAGCCGACGGCTCAGAGGGCTTGAGCCTTAAGCCAAAACCTAAGCACTGCTTGGTGAGTTGCTGACGTGCAGGCCTGCCGTGCTCTGATTTGCGATGCAGGAGACAAAACAAGCCCTGCTGCAGGGGTTTAGGGAGTTGAGGATTTAGGCTTTAAACCCAGGGTTCAGGGCTTAGAGTTAGGGTTAGGGTTATAGGGTTTGAAAAGGGATCCTCCCATGCAGGTTTGTCATAAGGAGTTTCTTTTTTGGGAAGTGATCTTCTTAGTCGAAGCGTCCTGCCAACAGAAGCCTCCTCGGTTTCTTTAGCCGCTGTTAAGTTGCAAGCTCCACGTCCTGGGTCCCAAGCCAGTGCAAAATCCCGACGATAGTGTACCGTGGACGCGGAGTACTTGAAGACCTCCCTTAAGAACCCAAAACCTACTTTTTTGTAGGGTCCCTATAAATCCCATATTAGGGTTTATAATAAGAACCTACAAAAACGTGGGTGTTGGGTTCTTAAGGTCACAAATAATGGAGGACAAATCAGGCTGCAGAGCAGCATTTCCCAGATGGGTCCTCGCCGGAGTCTTGCCAACTCCTAGAACAAAAGCCTTCCGACTATAGAGCCTGTTCATCAAGGTCCCTATATTCTGTTCAGAATTTATGAGCGCGACTTATGTCGATAGAGCCTGAAGCCCTAAAAGACTCCCGATCTAAGCCTCTCATGCAGAGCCTCGAATCCATTCCCGCCGCTGTTGTCAATGATCAGGATTAGTCTCAGGATGGAGATCCTAAAAAAAAACCCTATACCGTGAAGCCTAGAACCGCAAACCCCGAAGCCACAAACCCCGCCCAGCGTTCCTAAACCCGAGCCCTAAACCGTAAACCCTCTTTCCTCAGACTTTGGCGCGCGCTGTACGAAGCCGAGGAGGCTGTGCAGCTCGATGGCACGAGACTTGTTCGTCTTCCTGGGGTCAAAATCGAGACACCTCGTGGGGTTTCAGATTCAAGAGTGACTTATGGATAAGAACGTTTTGGGAGCCGTTGCATCTTATGTAGAGAGAGAGAGAGATAGAGAGAGAGAGAGAGCGAGAGAGCGAGAGAGCGAGAGGGTGAGAGGGTGAGAGGGTGAGAGGGTGAGAGGGTGAGAGGGTGAGAGGGTGAGAGGGTGAGAGGGTGCGAGGGTGAGAGGTTGAGAGGGTGAGAGGGTAAGAGGGTGAGAGGGTGAGAGGGTGAGAGGGTGAGAGGGTGAGAGGGTGAGGGGGTGAGGGAGAGGGAGGGAAGGGAGGGAGGCTCCAAATCCCCGCTAAAACGAATCCTCTGAGCTTGTGCTTCGGTCCTCAATCCCTCATAGATGACCTTCGTGTTCATTCGGCTTGGGGTTGTTTGGGTGCAGGATTCAGTGCTTCGGTTTTTAGGATATGAGAAGATGTTCTGGGTTTATCTTCAACTTTGACTTAGATCATGTGCCAGGAGAGCTACAATCAGTCGTAAGTTCCCTTATCAGCCCGAATATAGAAGCCTAGAAAATTACCCATTTTATTCAAAGGGTTCCTGATTATGAATAGGAAGGAGCCCCAAAGCTTATTCTAAGTATGAAGGCCCGTATACATTAGTTCAGACCGAGAGCAGGACCCAACCGCTTCTCGTGGCCTATCATACTCCGGACTTCACCATGGAGCTCGATCATGCCTCAGGCTAGCCTTTTGCCGGCCTGTACCTGACACTCTTTATATCGAGTGCCAGCATCATTGATGTTGAAGGCGAGTCGACCCTGAACATATTGTATTGTAACAACCTGTACTTTAGAGGTTCCATCGACTCAACTCCAAGATCGGTTCCGCCTCCAACCGACTATGCACTACCCAGGGGCTCCAATGTAGTTCCTTTTTGGGTCTGTTATAGTTTTTTGGTAAGGAGTTATAGTATACTATCCAAAAGGGAACTACGTAGGAGCCCTTGGGTATGCACCAAGAACCTCACCTCGCACGTCCGACAGTGACTGCCGAAGCCCCGACCCCCAAACACAAAGCCCCTAAACCCGGAGCCTTGCCTTGTGCGAGAGCGAAAGTCCAAGACCCCAACCCCAAACCCAAACCCGAACCCGAACCCAATAACAATGATAATAACAATAACAATAATAATAACAATAACAATAATAATAATCATCATCATCATCACAATAATAATAACAATGTTAATAATAATAACAATAATAATAACAATAATAATACTAATAATAACAATAATAACAATAACAAGAATCCATGTCTGCTGAGGCTCCAGCGGCTTCATTATCGCTTCGGCAGCCCGCAGCTCTCTGCGGCCTCCGCAGGCGCCCAAGGGCCCGAGCAAGGGTGGGGTTAGGGGGTTAAGGTTTAGGGTATGGGGTTTAGGG